CTTGTAAGATGAGACGTCAAGGTAAAAAATACACTTGTGAGATGAGACGTCAAGGTAAAATGTACACTTGTGAGATGAGACGTCAAGGTAAAATGTACACTTGTGAGAGGAGACGTCAAGGTAAAATGTACACTTGTGAAATGAGACGTCAAGGTAAAATGTACACTTGTGAGATGAGACGTCAAGGTAAAAGTACACTTGTGAGATGAGACGTCAAGGTAAAATGTACACTTGTGAGATGAGACGTCAAGGTAAAATATACACTTGTGAGATAAGACGTTAAGATAAAATGTACACTTGTGAGATGAGACGTCAAGATAAAATGTACACTTGTGAGATGAGACGTCAAGGTAAAATGTTCACTTGTGAGATGAGACGTCAAGATAAAGTGTACACTTGTGAGATGAGACGTCAAGGTAAAATGTTCACTTGTGAGATGAGACGTCAAGAAAAAATGTTCACTTGTGGTATGAGACGTCAAGGTAAAAGTACACTTGTGAGATGAGACGTCAAGGTAAAAGTGCACATGTGAGATGAGACATCAAGGTAAAAGTACACATGTGAGATGAGAAGTCAAGATAAAATGTACACTTGTGAGATAAGACTTCAAGATAAGTTGTACACTTGTGAGATGAGACGTCAAGATAAGATTTACATTTGTGAGATGAGACGTCAAGGTAAAATGTACACTTGTAAGATGAGACGTCAAGGTAAAATGTACACTTGTGAGATGAGACGTCAAGGTAAAATGTACACTTGTGAGATGAGGCGTCAAGGTAAAATGTACACTTGTGAGATGAGACGTCAAGGTAAGATGTACACTTGTGAGATTAGACGTCAAGGTAAAATGTACACTTGTGAGATGAGACGTCAATGTAAAATGTACACTTGTAAGATGATACGTCAAGGTAAAATGTACGCTTGTGAGATGAGACGTCAAGGTAAAATGTTCACTTGTGAGATGAGACGTCAAGATAAAGTGTACACTTGTGAGATGAGACGTCAAGGTAAAATGTACACTTGTGAGATGAGACGTCAAGGTAAAATGTTCACTTGTGAGATGAGGCGTCAAGGTAAAATGTACACTTGTGAGATGAGACGTCAATGTAAAATGTACACTTGTAAGATGATACGTCAAGGTAAAATGTACGCTTGTGAGATGAGACGTCAAGGTAAAATGTTCACTTGTGAGATGAGACGTCAAGATAAAGTGTACACTTGTGAGATGAGACGTCAAGGTAAAATGTACACTTGTGAGATGAGACGTCAAGGTAAAATGTTCACTTGTGAGATGAGGCGTCAAGGTAAAATGTACACTTGTGAGATGAGACGTCAAGGTAAAATGTACACTTGTGAGATGAGGCGTCAAGGTAAAATGTACACTTGTGAGATAAGACGTCAAGGTAAGATGTACACTTGTGAGATGAGACGTCAAGGTAAAATGTACACTTGTGAGATGAGACGTCAATGTAAAATGTACACTTGTAAGATGATACGTCAAGGTAAAATGTACACTTGTGAGATGAGACGTCAAGGGAAAATGCACACTTGTGAGATGAGACGTCAAGGTAAAATGTACACTTGTTAGATAAGACGTCAAGGTAAAATGTACACTTGTGAGATGAGACGTCAAGGTAAAATGTTCACTTGTGGGATGAGGCGTCAAGGTAAAATGTACATTTGTGAGATGAGACGTCAAGGTAAAATGTTCACTTGTGAGATGAGGCGTCAAGATAAAATGTACACTTGTGAGATGAGACGTCAAGGTAAGGTGTACACTTGTGAGATAAGACGTCAAGGTAAAATGTACACTTGTGAGATGAGACGTCAAGGTAAAAGTGCACATGTGAGATGAGACGTCAAGGTAAAATGTGCACTTGTGAGATGAGACGTCAAGGGAAAATGTACACTTGTAAGATGAGACGTCTGAAGAAAACCACTAGTTCAACTTCCCAAGGGAGAGAGAGAAATTATTCTACAGACAGACAGGAAATCAACTTCCACTAAAATAAATGAAGTGAGAAGCAGAAGATTAGATAGTTTTCTCATCTTGTTAGACGGCAGTCACTGCAACTGCCAACACCGGCGAGACACTCAGGAAAGATAAAATGTGAAAGTTAGAGGTCATCGCCGGAGAATAGGGACTGATGGCATTCTACATCAATGCAGAACGACGATAGCCAGTGCCACCCATGAAGCCATGGACCCCAAAACTGCTCCTTCCCACGACGCTTAATGGCAAAAGTGGAAATAAATAATAATAATGCTACAACGTGACAAATACAGAACAATAAAATGTATTTATTGTTATAAATCCTGATAAGACGAAACAAATACAACCATCATCTTCCTAATTAACAACCTTATTTGGTTCAACGTAGCAAGGCATATCCTTGGTTGTCACATCTTTACACCTCAAAGCGAATTTCCTGTAATGGGAAGAAGAACATAGCGTTCATAGGAAGAAACTCTGGCTAATTTAAGCCAGCTATAGTTTTAAGGTATTTTTTTTTTTTAAGTTATGAAAATTAAGTGTCAAACTATCAACGTGGAATGTGAGAACACTGGCAGAATAGGGAAATATAGAAAATGTAATAAAAGAAATTGAATGTATGAAGATAAACATTATAGAAATGTGTGATAGGAATGTGTGATAGGAATGTGTGATAGGAATGTGTGATAGGAATGTGTGATAGGAATGTGTGAAATGAGATGAAAGGGTGCTGGAATGATCAGGACAGATAAATACACCATAATATACTCGGGAAGCGACAAACATGAAAAGAGTGTGGGGATACTTTTTTTTTAAATCAAGAAACTACAAAAGCAATTGTGGGTTAATGGAGAATATCAGATAGGGATATTGTAGTTAAAATCAAAGGCAAACCAATAAATATAAACAAAATACAAGTGTCTGCCCCAACATCAGTTGCCAGTGAAGAGGAAATAGAACAATTTTACGAAGATTTAAATCTTGCAATCGGTCAAACAAAATCACAAGAAATTAAAAACAAAAATTGGGAGATTTTAATGCTGGGAAAGATAGAACGGAAGATGTAGTTGGGGAATGTGGTTTACGTTCAAGAAATGAAAGTTTAAACAACATACGGGACGATTATACACGTTGACAAGTCCAGAAAAAAAAAAACATTCAGTCAAATAGAATATATACTGTAGCACCTCGCTTAACGAGCACCTCTCATAACGAGTAAATTCGCATAACGAGCAAAAGAATCTGTAAAAGAATGACTCGCTTAACGAGCGACGTTTCGCATAACTAGTGACAAAGAAAAAGGGAAGTGCCGGATTGTTCTCATGTTACAACAATCTGTGTTTAGCACTCGTTCTAATAGCATCTTAGTGTCGCTTGTGATCACACATTTTTTTAAAACTTGTGTTATATTGTGATATATGTACATGAATCCTCCAGGCCTACAAGATGACCTCCCTGAAGAATTTAAGTTCATGAAGATCCAGTTTCTGCCCCCAACACCACTCCGTTAGTCCAGGCCATGGACCAGCAAGTTATTTCTGACTTTAAGATGCTCTACATTAAATCACTCTTCGAACATTGTTTTCATGTGACTGAAGGGACCAACCTCACTCTCAAAGAGTTTTGGAAAAATCACTTCCACATCGTTGCCTGCCTCAAGATGATCGACACGGCAGGGGAAGGGGTTACCAAGAGAACCCTAACTTCTGCTTGGAAGAAGCTTTGGCTGGAGAGCGATGTCGATTTGTGACTTTGAGTGGTTGGAGACAGTACCTGTGGAACCTTTAGTCAACGATATTGTGTCTTTGGCCACTGTCATAGGATTGTAGGTGGATAACAGTGATATCGAAGAGCTTTTTTAGTTGCATTGTGTTTCACAGCAAGAAGTTTTGGAGGAAAGTTTGTCGGAGGAGGAGGAGGTAACAGAAAAGCAACAATCTTCTGGCGAAATTAGAGAAATGCTGAAAGTATGGGAATCTGTTGTATCTTACACTGAGAGGCATTACCCTAATAAGGAAGAGGCTATGCTGCAAATTTATTTAATGATAATGCCGTGTCGCATTTTCGCCACATTTTGAAGCGTCGGCGAAAACATATGTACATCTTTCTAGTAAAAAAATAATTGGCTATGTTTCATAATTATTTTAGGCTTTTTTTTTCTGCAAATCGATTTCGCATTCCAGGTGGGTTCGTTCCGCGTTTGAAGAAAAGATGAAGATGTTTCACTCTCCTACCAATATGTATATAATTGGCAACGTTATACATAGCATTTTGTGAAAATGGAACGTATTATCGTATTTTACATTAATTTATATAAGAAAAGCTGAATTTCAGAAAATGAAAAATATCTTATGCAATAAATCCCTCTCATTTAATGTCAGAAAGAGAGTGTAAATATGTTACATAGAACCTGGTCTGTTGTATGGCAGCGAATCATGGAATGTCAGTGAACACATTAGGAAGAATTTGGAAGCAACAGAGATGTGGATTCTGAGACGAATGTTTCGAATAACTTGGACAACCAGAGTAACTAACAACAATTGCTTGAAAGAGGCTAATGAAAGTAGATCTCTATATACAACAATAGGAAAGAGACAAACACTGTTCTTTGGTCACATAATGAGAAGAGAGACTTTGGAGAACATCGTGACAACAGAAAAGATCAGGAGAAGAAGAAGGGGTAGAGGTAGAGTCAGACCAAGAGAGATGATGCTGGATGGGCTGAAACGATGGCATGGAGGGATATCATCAAGAGAACTGTCCCAGTCAACCAGGCATCGTGATCTGTGGAGACGCATGAGCGCCTACGCCAGTTGGCAGGCCGCATGATGATGATGATGATAGCTCTGAGAGAAATAACAAGAGAGAGAGAGAGAGAGAGTCATGTTGTGACAGATAATGTATGTGTCTCTCCAGAGATAATGTATGTGTCTCCTCTTTAACTGTTGTGTTTTGTGTCTCTTCGGTCACGCACAACGGTCTTGACTGATGAGGCTGTCTCCTCTATAGCTGTTGTGTTTTGTGTCTCTTCGGTCAAGCACAACGGTCTTGACTAAATGAGGCTATCTCCTCTATAGCTGTTGTGTTTTGTGTCTCTTTGGTCACGCACAACGGTCTTGACTAAACGAGGCTGTCTCCTCTATAGCTGTTGTGTTTTGTGTCTCTTTGATCACGCACAACGGTCTTGACTGTAGAAGGATTTTCAGTGTACCCCTTTCACACTATAGACAGAAGTACTCATAGGGGTAAACCAAGTTCTTAATGCATAACAGCTATTGTGCTCCACTTCGCGAAAGATCGGTCATCTACTCTATAGAACTCTCTGATCCTTGTAGTATATACCGCTGCAAAAGAATCATGTCTGGCCATCTTTACATATACGCTTGTAGTTTATCCATGTTACTAATGGAAGACTTTCTAGTCTGTGTTGTCATTGCTGATTATTTTTTATTGGGAAAGGGGCTAACTCTTCTTCTCGTCTAGGTTGATTCCTTTTCTGTAACAATAGGGATGTGCTGTATAAGATGTTTTATACTATGATTTCACAGTATGCAGTTTCTGCTTGCTTCTGTTGTTATTTCCTTTAAAAAATCTTTATTTTTTGTTGTTGTAAACTATAAGAAAATAAGGAAAACAAAACAGAACACAAAGTGTCACTCACTTGAAAGCCCCCATGATGATATCCATACTGGGAAGATCAAATAGATGGCGATTCTGCTCCACAATACTAGAGAGAGTTTCCGGTCCAATACAATCAAAGTCGACCAAAGTCAGCAGTTCTGAGGCGTGTCTGGTTCTATGGCACGGGTTATATTTCAGCCATTTGATGATCACCCGGAAGATATCTGCCTCACAGTTGATCTTCACGTTGGGGTCTCTGAGAAGTTTCTCCATCTGAAATCAGCAAAACATAATTGTGACAAAGGAAATATTTCTTCTCGTGAAAGTTACCCAGCATTGCCATGAATGCTGTCATTGCTGTTCTATCATATGCATTGTCTCGTGGATAACAGTTGTTGAAGCCCATTAAAATGCTCTCACATTTATCAATATTTTTTGAATGACTAAAAAAAATAGTTGCGTATCCTTTACGGATCGTTGCAGAACCAACCCCAGCCTATTTTTTCTGTTGTGGTTTTTCTAGGCAAATTTACGTCCAGTAGTTTGCCATTGCTACTGGACGGTCGGCTTTCTTGATACCACAGTCGAAACCAACGCAAGGCGCATGGCCCGCAGCTGGGATCTAACCCGGCATCCCGGCATTACGAAGCGTTCGCAACGCCCAAGCCACAGACGCCAACTTTGGATGTCTACGTGCCTAAATATTTAGGCGGTGACAGAAGGTCGGTTTTAGTGATTTGACGGACTGTGTGGTTTGGTTCTAAGGTGTCATTGATTTGACGGACTGTGTGGTTTGGTTCTAAGGTGTCATTGATTTGACGGACTGTGTGGTTTGGTTCTAAGGTGTCATTGATTTGACGGACTGTGTGGTTTGGTTCTAAGGTGTCATTCTACAGGAGCTCCATGGAGATAGTTGCTGACACATTGGGGCTTAGTGCCAGACTCTACAGGCGGGTAGTATTTCTCCTGGGAGAGACAATGCCAAATGGTAGGTATGCATGTAAGTTGTACCTCACCAGGACATCACACAAGCGATAAACACCTGGTGACACAAAGTGCCACCATGCGGATAAGGATCACCCGTTGAGAGGTCTCGGAAACCCCATTCAGTCGTTAGGCAATATTTAAGGCCCAGTTATAATTAAGGCCCCCGGCAAAAGCCAGGGTAGGGCTTAAAAATAATATTGCATAAAAACGGCATCCCACATGGGGACGACAGTACAGATATTTTAAAATGGTAGTAGTAATAGAGTCGGTGCTTGTGGCTTACGCGTTCCGAACGCGCTTTGTAATGCCGAGGCGCCAGGTTCGATTCCAGCTGCGGGCTCTGTCCCTTGCTTTGGTTTCAACAGTGGTATCGGGAAGGGGACCGCCCACAAAGCAATGGCAAACTACTAGACGTAAATGTGCCTACAAAACCACAACAGTCAAAGAATGCTGTGGTTGGTTCTGCATCGTCCTGTTAAGGATACACAACTAACTAGTAGTAGTAGTAGTAGTACATTTTACCCCACTAATACATCACACAAGCGATAAACACCAAATGACACAATGTACCACCAAGTGGATGAGGATCACCCGTGGGAAAGTCCTGTAAACCGCGTTCAGCTATTAGACCATATTTATAGCCGTGCTTTATTGCGGCCCGTGGCAAGAGCCAGGTTGGGGTTTCAAAATAACGAATAATTGCATCTGAAGAGGAGATGACTGGTAATGTATCTTTTAAATAGGCTAATGGTTCAGTGAATTGGTAAATCGTATCGACTAAAATACACTTAAACGTATTTAAATATTATTTACTTCTTTACACCTGTCACAATGAGAAGGAAAAACAAATGTTAAGCCCCTTACCTATGAGACTAGGGATGTTTGCAAAACGGTATTGACACATAAATGCAACTGTACAAAAACATCTTTTCTTGATTTGAATGGGTTTTAAATTGCCACATTTGTAAAAGCAGGGGGGGCAAACTGCTAATGTAGCCTAGCTCACTTTTATCTAGATTACTGCCCTTATTTCCCCCTCCTCGTTTTTTTTTCTTTTTATTCTTTCTTCTTCTTCTTCTTCTTTTTCTTCTTCTTCTTCTTCTTCTTCTTCTCCTTCTTTTCTGATAACTGAGTGAAGTATTGAAAGAAGATTTCAGAATTTTAAGTGAGCAGTCTCTTATATGCTGTGTAAGTTGGTCATCATTCCTCTTAATGTTGACAATCAAAAATAAACATTTAAACCTTGTTTATAAAAAAACCAAAACCAAAACCAAAAAAAAAAAAATCCAACACTGTCATCTTGACCCCTTACAGACAAATATGGCTTAAATGGGTCAAGTCCAAGGGGAGGGAACCTTTCTCTGTCAATACATTGTGGATATGAAGGGACACTAAACAAAATATCGACTAAACAATGAGCCTGTCCTGTGAGGTAAAACATGGACTTATCCCGACTTGTGATAGTAAAGTACAGTAGCCTGTTGAAACAAGTCGCTAGTGGCACACAATGATGCCGATCTCACATTTCATTAAACTTGTTATCAGTCAATGCAGGATGAGACTAAAATCAAGCCAGTCGCCTTGACTTAGAATGACTTTTCTTTTTTGGCCCCATGCTAGCTTCGGGTGCCATATACCTCTCGCGGACAGGAACTTTACTGACCATAGCCTCATCTGTTATAACGGAACACATAGCAAGACTAACAAATTACAGCATGGTTGTCGCCGCCTTCTGTCTTCGTTATTTGGAATCATGTCAACACAGGTGGAACAACACACAGTAGAATGACACACAAAACTTACGCCAGGTAACTGCATGCCGAGGATGTATGAACATACAGTAGAATGACATACTAGACTTACGTCAGGTAACTGCATGCCAAGGATGTATGAACATACAGTAGAATGACATACAAGACTTACGTCAGGTAACTGCATGCCAAGGATGTATGAACATACAGTAGAATGACATACAAGACTTACGTCAGGTAACTGCATGCCAAGGATGTATGAACATACAGTAGAATGACATACAAGACTTACGTCAGGTAACTGCATGCCAAGGATGTATGAACATACAGTAGAATGACATACAAGACTTACGTCAGGTAACTGCATGCCAAGGATGTATGGCGAGTCTTCGATCTCCAGCAGGTTCTCCAGCACGAAGTCCTTGTAGACTTCCATGATGTTGGAAGGCATTCCTATACGTTGTCTGATCGTCAGATATTTCTGTGATTATGGGCAGGTAAGTATATATTATGTATGTATGTATGTATGTATGTATGTATGTATGTATGTATGTATGTATGTATGTATGTATGTATGTATGTATGTATGTATGTATGTATGTATGTATGTATGTATGTATGTATGTATGTATATGTATGTATGTATGTATGTATGTATGTATGTATGTATGTATGTATGTATGTATGTATGTATGTATGTATGTATGTATGTATGTATGTATGTATGTATGTATGTATGTATGTATGTATGTATGTATGTATGTATGTATGTATGTATGTATGTATGTATGTATGTATGTATGTATGTATGTATGTATGTATGTATGTATGTATGTATGTATGTATGTATGTATGTATGTATGTATGTATGTATGTATGTATGTATGTATGTATGTATGTATGTATGTATGTATGTATGTATGTATGTATGTATGTATGTATGTATGTATGTATGTATGTATGTATGTATGTATGTATGTATGTATGTATGTATGTATGTATGTATGTATGTATGTATGTATGTATGTATGTATGTATGTATGTATGTATGTATGTATGTATGTATGTATGTATGTATGTATGTATGTATGTATGCATGCATGCATGCATGTGTATTATGTATGTATGTATGTATGTATGTATGTATGTATGTATGTATGTATGTATGTATGTATGTATGTATGTATGTATGTATGTATGTATGTATGTATGTATGTATGTATGTATGTATGTATGTATGTATGTATGTATGTATGTATGTATGTATGTATGTATGTATGTATGTATGTATGTATGTATGTATGTATATATGTATGTATGTATGTATGTATATATGCATGCATGCATGCATGCCTGCCTGCCTGCCTGCCTGCCTGACTGCCTGCCTGCCTGACTGCCTGCCTGTCTGTCTGTCTGTCTGTCTGTCTGTCTGTCTGTCTGTCTGTCTGTCTGTCTGTCTGTCTGTCTGTCTGTCTGTCTGTCTGTCTGTCTGTCTGTGTATATATCTGTGTGTACTCGTGTATGTGGTGTATATGTTTGTGTGTGTATGTGTGACTGTATGCATGAATGTATGTATGTAAGTAGATAATATATAGGTATGTAGGTGGGTATGTACGTACGTGTGCGTGCATGTATGTGCATATATATGCGTTTGTGTGTGTACCTGTGTGTATGTATTAGGTACATGCATGCATACTACCAGGTAAACAGGCAACTGTCTGGTCTGGTCTGGTAGTCCTAGTTTCAGCTTCATAGCAAAACGGGTCACCCCATCTTTGCTGAGCTACCGTGCCAACGGAAAACACACAGAATGTTTATCAGTCTTTTGTGGAAAGATTGACGACTGCTGTCTCAGCATATCTAGCATACACTCGCATTAAAGCATATGGTAGCCGTCAGAAGTGCTAGCTCAAACAGTCCGACATTAGAAATGCAGTTCATCAATGATGGTAGCAGAAGTCTGTCTGACTTCGATCTCCAGCAGGTTCTCCAGCACGAAGTCCTTATAGGTAGCTGTGCTGGTACGAAGTCTTGGGTTCGAAACCACATCTTGCAGATACGAGAAACAAGTTGAATTTGGCTCGGCCTAGGACATGTCCCGGGAAATAAAGGCGGCTTACGTTTTTTGATCACATCCCTTATTGAGTAATGTTTGCCTGTGACAAAATGTGTTAAGCAACATATGACATATGCGTCACTGGCGTGACAAAAGTCCTTTCTTGACTTCTCTCCCAAGCCTGCACACAAATATCACTAAGTGCAATGAGACAGGTCTATTGCAGAACGTCGCTCTCACCGCAGAACGTCGCTCTCACCACAGAACGTCGCTCTCACCGCAGAACGTCGCTGTCACCGCAGAACATCGATCTCACCGCAGAACGTCGCTCTCACCGCAGCACGTCGCTCTCACCGCAGTACGTCGCTCTCACCGCAGCAGGTCGCTCTCACCGCAGCAAGTCGCTCTCACCTCAGCACGTCGCTCTCACCGTAGAACGTCGCTCTCACCGCAGAACGTCGCTCTCACAGCAGAACGTCGCTCTCACCGCAGAACGTCGCTCTCGCCGCAGAACGTCGCTCTCACCGCAGAACGTTGCTCTCACCGCAGCACGTCGCTCTCACCGCAGAATGTCGCTCTCATCGCAGAACGTCGCTCTCACCGCAGAACGTCGCTCTCACCACAGAAAGTCGCCCTCACTGCAGAACGTCGCTCTCACCGCAGCAGGTCGCTCTCACTGCAGCACGTCGCTCTCACCACAGCACGTCGCTCTCGCCGTAGAACGTCGCTCTCACCGCAGAACGTCGCTCTCACTGCAGCACGTCGCTCTGACCGCAGAACGTCACTCCCACCGCAGCACGTCGCTCTCACCGCAGAACGTCGCTCTCACCACAGAACGTCGCTCTCACCGCAGAACAACGCTCTCACCGCAGCAGGTCGCTCTCACCGCAGCACATCGCTCTCACCACAGCACGTCGCTCTCGCCGTAGAACGTCGCTCTCACCACAGCACGTCGCTCTCATCGTAGAACGTCGCTCTCACCGCAGAACGTTGCTCTCACCACAGAACGTCGCTCTTACTACAGAACGTCGCTCTCACTACAGAACGTCGCTTTCACTACAGAACATCGCTCTCACCACAGAACGTCGCTCTCACTACAGAACGTCGCTCTCACCACAGAACGTCGTTCTCACTACAGAACGTCGCTCTCACTACAGAACGTCGCTCTCACCACAGAACTTCGCTCTCACCACAAAAAGTCGCTCTTACTACAGAACGTCGCCCTCACTACAGAACGTCGCTCTCACTACAGAACGTCGCTCTCACTACAGAACGTCGCTCTCACTACAGAACGTCGCTCTCACCACAGAACGTCGCTCTCACTACAGAACGTCGCTCTCACTACAGAACGTCGCTCTCACCACAGAACTTTGCTCTCACCACAATACGTCGCTCTTACTACAGAACGTCACCCTCACTACAGAACGTCGCTCTTACCGCAGAACATCGCTCTCACTACAGAACGTCGCTCTCACCACAGAACGTCGCTCTCACCACAGAACGTCGCTCTCACTACAGAACGTCGCTCTAACTGCAGAACTTTGCTCTCACTACAGAAGGTTGCTCTCACTACAGAACGTCGCTCTCACCACAGAACGTCGCTCTCACTACAGAACGTCGCTCTCACTATAGAACGTCGCTCTCACTACAGAACGTCGCTCTCACTACAGAACGTCGCTCTCACCACAGAACTTCGCTCTCACCATAAAACGTCGCTCTTACTACAGAACGTCGCCCTCACTAAAGAACGTCGCTCTCACCGAAAAACGTCGCTCTCACTACAGAACGTCGCTCTCACTACAGAACGTCGCTCTCACCACAGAACGTCGCTCTCACTACAGAACGTCGCTCTCACTACCGAACGTCACTCTCACTACAGAACGTCTTCCGGTTTAGAAATGGCAGCGTGAAGACGTGTTTGCGGCGACACTCGATTTTTTCTAAAATTTTCACTTAATCGGTGTTTTTTCTCTTGATAACAAAGTGCGATTATTACTAATTCATTGACGATGGATATTCTCTTGTTCGTGGATACAAGTATTATGTGGTTTAGGGGTGTTATAACGGAATTATTTCCACAAAATAGCCACGGCGGCGGCCGTGTCCTAATTCCGATAATGTAACCGCGTAGGAGCCACGCTCCCATTATAAACATGGGAGTCCACGGGTAAGACCCCAGTCTACTCTAGCAAAACAAGGTGCTGAAGTCGGAGGCAACCAGCCAGGAGGCGCACCACAGCAATCAGGAAGCCACGCACAAATGCAACAGGGAATATTTCTATATCTGCAAATAAGTTTGATTTCCACCATGCGACCCACTCACGCACACGTGGTTCGATTTACCGGCCTAAGACAAGAAGAAAGAGTCCAGCTTCAAATACTCGAAGCCTCCCCCTAATGCCCCGTAGAACCAGAAAAGCAGAAAATACAGCTAGCCTTAAAATAATGCACTGGAACGCGGAGGGAGTAAATACTAAGAAATTAGAATTAGAAAACGTCTTGAACGAAGAGAATGTACATGTATGCTGCCTACAAGAGACTTATCTCAAACAAGATATGGCCTTTAAGATCAGAGGCTACCAGTGTTTCCGATCTGACCGCAAAGACAGGAGAAAAGGTGGAATTCTTACCCTGGTCAAAAATAACATCCTTGTGGGCCGGATCGAAACATACATGGAAGGTGCTGAGTATCAAACACTTGAGCTCAAGTTAGAAAATACAGATTTACATCTGACCAACTATTACTGTCCGAGCGACCGCCCTCAGGCACTGGATACAGTACTAATAAATGAAAAAATGATCATTTGTGGGGATTTTAATAGTCATTCCCAAAGTTGGGGATACGATCATATGGACCAGAGAGGAGAGAAACTAGAGGACTGGCAGGATGAGAATAGGTTCATCCTCGTTAATAAGCCAACCGACCCACCAACCTTCTACTCTAGAGCATGGCATACCACCTCGACACCAGACCTAGCCTTTCACTCACCAGACATGGAACTGAATGTTACCAGAACTGTTGGGAAGCAACTAGGAGGCAGTGACCAGCGGCCAGTCTTTCTAACTATAGAAAGCCAGTCTGTAAGAGAGAGCAGCACACTGCCAAGGTGGAATTTTAAGAAGGCAGACTGGAAGTTGTATCAGCTTCGCACAAATGTTCTGCTGGAAAATCTAAACACAGATAACGACGTAGAAAAAGTAGTCCAAGAGTTGAGCAAACACATACTGCAGGCAGCCCTAGAAGCAGTTCCAAGAGGTTCGCGTAAACAATACAAACCGTACTGGAATTGCGATCTGGAGCAACTGCACAACAATATGGAAACAGAAAGAAAACAAGCTGAGACCAGACCTTGTCAAGAGCAATTTAACAACTACCAACATTCAAAGGCCAAATTTCAAAGAGCCAAACTGCAGGCTAGACGGGCAAGCTGGCAAGAAAAGACAAAGTCTCTAAACTTTGAAAGAGACACAAGGAAGTTGTGGAGGTTAATTAAGCAAATTAATGATGAGAATACAGGAAGAAATGGTAATATTGCACTATGCAAAGAGGGAGCCATCCTAACAAGAAAACAGGCAGCTGACCACTTTGCAGATTCCTTTGCAGAAGACAGCAACATTAATGTCAGCCCAGAGAAACGGCGAGAGGTTCAAGAAAACAAACAACATATAAGACAAAAAGATATAATTCCTGAGGCACTGGTGGCAGCACTTACATCCAGCGAGTTAGAGTTAGCAATATCAAAGCTGAGAATGGGAAAATCACCTGGAATTGATGGTATCACCAATGAAATGATCAAGAACCTTGGAACAACTGCCAAAAAAAAGCTGCTACAGATCTTTAATCATTGTTGGACCAGTGGCAAAGTTCCTCAAAAATGGAGAGAAGCAATCACAATACCTCTGTTTAAACCAGGAAAGGATAGTTCTGATGCCTCCAGCTATAGACCGATCAGTCTTACCAGCTGCCTCTGTAAAACAATGGAACGTATTGTCAACCTTAGACTCCAATGGTACTTGGAAAGTGAAAACATTTTCACGCCGCAGCAGGCAGGATTTAGACAGTGCTACTCCACAGAAGACCAGACAACTTACCTTTCACAAGAAATTGAGGATGCCTTCCAGGAAAAGAAGCTAGTGCTAACGGCATGGATAGATCTGAAGAAAGCCTTTGACAAGGTCTGGAAAGAAGGTCTACTGAAGAAACTGAGAGACTGCAGGGTGAATGGGAGAATGTACAAATGGGTGAAAGCATACTTGTATAACAGAAGATCCCGAGTACAGATAGATGGACTTAAGAGTAAAAAAGTTTTGCTGCGCCATGGCGTCCCACAAGGAGGTGTTCGGTCCCCCACACTCTTCCTAGTCTATATCAACGACTGCTTTCTGAACTACCCCATGGAATTAAAGCTGCAAAGTATGCTGATGACTTGGTACTCTGGTTAACAAATGAAAATGCGACAGTGGCCACAAGGCTGCTACAAAGAGCCATAGATGCAATGGCTGATTGGGCCAACAAATGGTGTGTCAGCATCAACATAGGCAAATGCAGCACCACCCTCTTTACCCTTTCTCCTAAACAAAAATCAGGTGTCATGCACATAAATGGAGTACACCTGAGAGAGGATAAGGAGCCCACATACCTCGGCGTAACGTTTGATGATAGATTAACATGGAGAAAACACATCAACAAGGCAGCAACCAAAGCCAGAAGGAGGGTAGCCATTCTGAGAAAACTAAGTTGAACCACATGGGGTGCTAGCGGGAAAATACTTAGAAAAGTTTACCAACAAAGTGTTCGACCACATCTTGAATACGGATCAACAGCATGGAGTTCGGCATCAAAAACCACATTGCAAGAATTAGACAAAGTGCAAAATCAAGCACTCAGAGTTACCACATGCAGTATGAAATCGACACCTATAGCTGTGATGGAGAAAATGGGGATGACCCAAGCACTAAGTGAATGCAGAGACACAAAGATGCTTTTACAAGCAGAAAAGGTTCTTAGTATGCCCAGTCACCCTATGAATGAAAGATTCCAAAATTTAGCTTTGGGACGACTAAAGAGAAGTAGTTTTATCCACCAGGCCAAACGGCTCGGCAGACAAACCACTGATTTACCTGCAACTGATAGATCCTTAAATGCTGTCCCAGAACGGACCCCCTGGAGAGAGGAGTATAAGTTTAGAATACACATCAAGACTGAAGTGAAAGGGGTATTTGACAAGGAAGAACAAAACAGTGTGCAGCGCAAAACAGTCACCCTCAGTCTACTTGACGATGAATACCCGCAGAACCTTTGGGTCCGTGTTTACACAGATGGGTCAGCAGAAAGCGCAGTCAGAAACTGAGGTGCGGGAGTGTACATTGAGTATCCTAATAATACCAGGGATACAGCCAAATTACCAACGGGAAAGCACTGTCACAACTATGATGCAGAAGTTCAAGCCATCAAGATAGCGGCAGAGAAACTACTAAATACAGGGTATTTTTCACAACCAGTGGTATTCATGACAGATGCAAAAGCAGTACTTCAGTCACTCCAGTCTGGAAAATTACCAAGCATACGGACACTATTATCCGAACCAGGCAACCGCTGTAAATTAGTAATGCAGTGGATACCTTCCCACTGTGGAGTTCCCGGAAACGAAAAAGCTGATAAACTAGCCAAGGAAGGTGCAACTGAAGAACAACCTAACATACCAGTCTCTTATCAACAGAAGAAGAGAATGATCAAATCAATCAGAATGCCACCGAAACTGGCACAAGATGATTACCATATTATGGACAGACCAGAGCAAGTCATTATCCTTCGCCTTAGAACAGGGCACAATCGACTTCGCTCCCACATGTACAACAAATTTAAGATTGGCCAATCAGCCATGTGTACTTGTGGACTGGCACCTGAAACAACAGATCACATCCTTCAAGACTGTCCCAGATTCAACGCTTTCAGGCAAAACCTTTGGCCAAAAGAGACACTTGTGGAAGTCAAACTTTACGGGCCGCTTAGTGAATTACAAAAGACAGTGAAATTCATACTAGAGACAGCTTTGCAGATATAGACAATTTATTTCATGCGAACGAAAGAAGAAGAAGAAGAACTACAGAACGTCGCTCTCACCACAGAACGTCGCTCTCACTACAGAAAGTCGCTCTCACTACAGAACGTCGCTCTCACCACAGAACTTCGCTCTCACCACAAAACGTCGCTCTTACTACAGAACGTCGCCCTCACTACAGAACTTCGCTCTCACTACAGAACGTCGCTCTCACTACAGAATGTCGCTCTCACTACAGAACGTCGCTCTCACCACAGAACGTCGCTCTCACTACAGAACGTCGCTCTCACTACAGAACGTCGCTCTCACCACAGAACTTTGCTCTCACCGCAGAACGTCGCTCTCACTACAGAACGTCGCTCTCACCACAGAACGTCGTCTCACTACAGAACGTCGCTCTAACCGCAGAACTTCGCTCTCACTACAGAAGGTTGCTCTCACTACAGAACGTCGCTCTCACTACAGAACGTCGCTCTCACTACAGAACGTCGCTCTCACTACAGAACGTCGCTCTCAATACATAACGTCGCTCTCACCACAGAACTTCGCTCTCACCATAAAACGTCGCTCTTACTACAGAACGTCGCCCTCACTAAAGAACGTCGCTCTCACCGAAAAACGTCGCTCTCACTACAGAACGTCGCTCTCACTACAGAACGTCGCTCTCACCACAGAACGTCGCTCTCACTACAGAACGTCGCTCTCACTACAGAACGTCGCTCTCACCACAGAACGTCGCTCTCACTACAGAACGTCGCTCTCACTACAGAACGTTGCTCTCACCGCAGAACGTCGCTCTCACTACAGAACGTCGCTCTCACTACAGAACGTCGCTCTCACCACAGAACGTCGCTCTCACCACAGAACATCGCTCTCACTACAGAACGTCGCTCTCACTACAGAACGTCGCTCTCACTACAGAACGTCGCTCTCACCACAGAACGTCGCTCTCACCACAGAACATCGCTCTCACTACAGAACGTCGCTCTCACCACAGAACGTCGCTCTCACCACAGAACGTCGCTCTCACCACAGAAGCCAGAAGGCCTCTCCTCTCTTGCCAAATGCCCCGCCTATTCAACATTTCTGTTCAGAGTGAGCTTGACATCCCGTGTTTGCCATCAGGTTTGTCTTCAAGAAACTATACCTTCCAAAAATATGTTCTCCAAATCATCAGCCCATTTAATTTGACCAAGGTTTTGCAGTTTCCCAGAAATGATTCTGTCTATAAGCAGGTTGCGCTCAATGTTCAAATCCTAGAGAATATCAATATATCTGCTCTGCTTGGTTTACTATGGGCAGGCTCGGTGGTGTAGTGCATGAACGCTCACCTTGAGCCAGTAGGTTGTATATTCAAACTCGCATTGAGCTGGATATTTTAAACAAATCACATTGGCTCTCGGGTTTATCCATATCAAATGAGTACCAGGCAAATTCCTGGGAAGTAAAGGCGGTCCACGTGATGTTGATCGCATCACCACGAAGACTCTTCCTGTCACATTGATGTCCAACAGCTGTATATTAAAGCATTGACCTGCCACTTAGCTGTCTATACTTAACACTATTTAGGGAAGTGAAAAACCCGTGGTCGTAAGCCTGGCTACAGCAGTCGGCCATCAACTATAGGTTTGGATGTTTATCTTTCCCCAGCGAAAAAATATTCTCACTGCCGTCTGGGTCTCTCCTGCTAGACAGTTTAGCGTAAAAGCCACTCTGCCAACCTTTCGTTCGTGTCGAACTGTGCAGACATTTATTGATGACAAATGTACCTCAAAATTCTGCACTGTGGGTTTGGACAACAGCTCCACCACCAGGTCAGTTATCTCCCCAATCTCCAAGATGGACGCTGCGGTGTACACGGACTCTAGCACACTGTCCGTCACCTCCATTTTTGACGTGTACAAGTACTGGAGAATCTTTGAGTGGGGAGAAAACAACATACGGGTTCACTGAAAGAATACCCACCACGGCGAGATATACATGCACTAGAGAATCTTACAGTGGGGACAAAACGACATACGGGCTCATTTTTTCTTCTTCTTCTGCGTTCGACATCAGTCATGCTAAACATTGAGTCCCGTCTGGGTCACAAATAGGATTGTGCGTTTAAGGTCACCACCGGTCCTCCATAGCTTCTCTTGCAATGTGGCTCCCTTAGGCCAGATCCACAGTCTATGCTGGGAGAGGTTAGAGCAGTACTGTAGTATATGCTCAGGGCTCTGTCTTTCTGCTCCACAATCACAGGCAACAGATTCTTTTATGCCTATCCTGTACCGGTGTGCTCGAAGACCACAGTGTCCTGTCCGAAGTCTAAAAATTGATGTTTGTTCTTTCCTGTTGATTTTGTTTATGCTGTCACTCTCTGGTCTGTAATCTCCATTCTGCTTTCTCCACTCCCGATTAAAAGACTGCTTTAGCGCTGTTTTGGTTTCCTTGTAGCTGTGTGGTGGATGAGGTTGTGGAAGATTACTCCCAGCTTTTGCCAACGCATTTGCTCTCTCATTTCCACGAATACCACAGTGGGCTGGTATCCACTGCAAGACCAGTTCTGCTTCCTTTGAGAGTAAGCCAATGTTGGTCCTTAGATCTGCAATTAGTTTGTCTCGTTTTTTGTTTGATAGTGCTTGAAGAACAGACAATGAGTCACTAAGTAATGGGCTCATTGAAAAAATACACACCAACTCGAGATCTACATGCACTAGAGAATCTTGCAGTTGTGAGACAAACAAATGAGGCAACCTGAAGAATATAAAGCAATCTGAGGTTGCCAACTTGTTTAAACTTCGTGTAAAAGTGTGCGAGTGCTTCGTGCACACTTTTTTCCATCCAGTTCCCCCCTCCCCTCCCCCCTCTTTTTTCCACTCTTATTTCTTTCTACATAAACGACAATATGAATACATTTTGTTTGTATTATCATTTTTGTGTTCTTCTTATTCTTCTTTTGGTTCTTCTTGCTGTAGTTGATACGGTTGTTGATCGTCAACTTGTTGTTCTTATTCTTTTTTCTTGGTCTTCTTGTTCTTCCTCCTCCTCGTCCTCCTCCTCTTCTCCAGTAACTTATCAAGTGTTGATGTGTCTATAAAAGCGCGGACGAGCACTATATTCCCAGTGTGTCTCAAGGCGATAGAAAGGGTCCTTGTTGATGTCTGTCTGACCTCTTTATTGTCGTTTTTATAGTTATTGGCACCTTTATGTGTGTCCAAACAAGGGTGTTCCCCACTGTTCCACAGGGAGCCCTGCAATCATATCAAATGGCAAAGAAAGCTAGAGATAAAGTTTCACCTCTAGATAGCACAGAGCTAGTGCAGTATTCCGAAGACCATGTGGTGCACATGAAGTATGATACATCACATCTCTCGGCCAGCTTTATTAACTCTAGGGAAAAGTAGCGCCAATACTTTTGGAACAAAGCATGCAGCAAAAGCTGCTGTATCAGAAAAGTAGTGCCCTGTCTGCTCGTCTGTCGGAGCACTCCTTCTAGACCAGCGGCCAAACCAAGGTTGCATACATGGGCTGTCACATTTCAGGTTGCGTTTCCTCGTTCTAGGAAAAATATTATTACCATTACCATTATAACTATTACTATTGTTATTGTTATTCTTGTTTTAGAGGTGACCTACCAGACTGACGGCTTCCTCTGTGACGTCAGGAATGTCGAAACTGACCGTGGGGATCTGGTGTGGGTCGTCGGGACAAAAAATGTCAGTGAAGGCAGCCAGGACAATTTTGTGAGCCAGAAATGACGTGTTCCCAACCTGAAACATGGAACCTATGATACATACTCAGTGAATCGACAGGTGTCAAGGAAAATTACAGCAACTGAAAGGAGACTCAAACAAAGAGCTCTTGATAGTCAGAGATAAGATCGCTAAAATCTGAAGGAGAATGGGGACACCGGCAGATCTGGGTTTCCTTAAAATACAACAGATGAAATGGTTTAACCATGTAACGCTAATGTCAACAAACATTAGGCTACATCAAGCAATGATGTACAGACCAGGTGGCAAGCGAAGAAGAGGCCGATCATGCAAGCGATGGAAAGAGAGAATTACAAAGTCCCTGGGAATTCCAGTTTATGAAGCGAAGAAATGGGCGTTTTCCTGTAACTTATTCTTTACCTCGACACCGCGTGATACCAGAGGATCAATATGAGATGAGATGAGATGAGTTACTATAGTACGCAAGGGACTTAAACAGTGAAATATGCCAGGCAATAAATTGCGCAGTAAAGTGTGTATGTTTTTTGTTTTGTTTACGGAAATCACAAATTCGGTACTTACTTTGATTCGTACATCACACAAGCATTGGTTCTTCCACAGTTCACACAGGTAGTACCCGATGAAAGAATTAAATGAGACTCCCTCCTCATGTCCATCTTCAGAATTGAAGTTGATGTTGTAGTCTCGTGGCCGCTGAAGAGACAACAACTATGTCAGAGATGTACACAGAGACAACAACTATGTCAGAGATGTACACTCGTGTTTATCCACAGAGACAACAACTATGTCAGAGATGTACACAGAGACATCTATGTCATAGATGTACACTCGTGTCTATCCTCAGATACAACAGCTATGTCAGAGATGTACACTAGTGTTTATCCTCAGAGACAACAACTATGTCAGAGATGTGCACTCGTGTTTATCACCGGAGACAACAACTATCTCAGAGATGTACACTCATGTTTATCACCAGAGACAACAACTATGTCAGAGATGTACACTCGTGTTTATCCTCAGAGACAACAACTATGTCAAAGATGTACACTCATGTTTATCACCAGAGACAACAACTATGTCAGAGATGTACACTCGTGTTTATCCTCAGAGACAACAACTATGTCAGAGATGTACACTAGTGTTTATCCTCAGAGACAACAACTATGTCAGAGATGTACACTAGTGTTTACCCTCAGAGACAACAACTATGTCAGAGATGTACACTCGTGTTTATCACCAGAGACAACAACTATGTCAGAGATGTACACTCGTGTTTATCACCAGAGACAACAACTATGTCAGAGATGTACACTCGTGTTTATTCTCGGAGACAACAACTATGTCAGAGATACACACTCGTGTTTATCCTCAGAGACAACAACTATGTGAGAGATGTACACAAAGACAACAACTATGTCAGAGATGTACACTCGTGTTTATCCCCAGAGACAACAACTATTTTAGAGATGTACACAGAGACAACATCTATGTCATAGATGTACACTCGTGTTTATCCTCAGATACAACAACTATGTCAGAGATGTACACTAGTGTTTATCCTCAGAGACAACAACTATGTCAGAGATGTACACTAGTGTTTATCACCAGAGACAACAACTATGTCAGAGATGTACACTCGTGTTTATCACCAGAGACAACAACTATGTCAGAGATGTACACTCGTGTTTATTCTCGGAGACAACAACTATGTCAGAGATACACACTCGTGTTTATCCTCAGAGACAACAACTATGTGAGAGATGTACACAAAGACAACAACTATGTCAGAGATGTACACTCGTGTTTATCCCCAGAGACAACAACTATTTTAGAGATGTACACAGAGACAACATCTATGTCATAGATGTACACTCGTGTTTATCCTCAGATACAACAACTATGTCAGAGATGTACACTAGTGTTTATCCTCAGAGACAACAACTATGTCAGAGATGTGCACTCGTGTTTATCACCGGAGACAACTACTATCTCAGAGATGTACACTCATGTTTATCACCAGAGATAACAACTATGTCAGAGATGTACACTCGTGTTTATCCTCAGAGACAACAACTATGTCAAAGATGTACACTCATGTTTATCACCAGAGACAACAAATATGTCAGAGATGTACACTCGTGTTTATCCTCAGAGACAACAACTATGTCAGAGATGTACACTAGTGTTTATCCTCAGAGACAACAACTATGTCAGAGATGTACACTAGTGTTTATCCTCAGAGACAACAACTATGTCAGAGAAACACACTCAAGTTTATCCTCAGAGACAACAACTATGTCAGAGATGTACACTCGTGTTTATCACCAGAGACAGCAACTATGTCAGAGATGTACACTCGTGTTTATCACCAGAGACAACAACTATGTCAGAGATGTACACTCGTGTTTATCCTCGGAGACAACAATTATGTCAGAGATACACACTCGTGTTTATCCTCAGAGACAACAACTATGTCAGAGATGTACACAGAGACAACAACTATGTCAGAGATGTACACTCGTGTTTATCTTCACAGACAACTATGTCAGAGATACACACTCGTGTTTATCTTCACAGACAACAACTATGTCAGAGATGTACTCTCGTGTTTATCTTCACAGACAACAACTATGTCAGAGAAACACACTCGTGTTTATCTTCACAGACAACAACTATGTCAGAGATGTACACTCGTGTTTATCTTCACAGACAACAAATATGTCAGAGATGTACACTCGTGTTTATCTTCACAGACAACAACTATGTCAGAGATACACACTCGTGTTTATCCTCAGAGACAACAACTATGTCAGAGATGTACACCCGTGATTATCCCCAGAGACAACAACTATGTCAGAGATGTACACCCGTGTTTATCCCCAGAGACAACAACTATGTCAGAGATGTACATTCGTGTTTATCACCAGAGACAACAACTATGTCAGAGATGTACACCCAGAGACAACAACTATGTCAGAGATGTACACAGAGACAACGTGTTTATCCCCAGAGACAACAACAACTATGTCAGAGATGTACATTCGTGTTTATCCCCAGAGACAACAACTATGTCAGAGATGTACACCCGTGTATTCCCAGAGACAACAACTATGTCAGAGATGTGTTTATTCCCAGAGACAACAACTATGTCAGAGATGTACACCCGTGTTTACCCAGAGACAACAACTATGTCAGAGATGTACACAGAGACAACAACTATGTCAGAGATGTACACCTCGTGTTTATCCCCAGAGACAACAACTATGTCAGAGATGTACACTATGTCAGTGTTTATCCCAGAGACAACAGAGACAACAACTATGTCAGACAACAAGATGTACACTCGTGTTTATCCCCAGAGACAACAACTATGTCAGAGATGTACACCCGTGTTTATCCCCAGAGACAACAACTATGTCAGAGATGTACACTCGTGTTTATCACCAGAGACAACAACATGTCAACTATGTCAGAGATGTACTATGTCAGAGATGTACTCGTGTTTATCCCCAGAGACTATGTCAAGATGTACACTCGTGTTTACTAGACAACAACTATGTCAGAGATGTACACTCGTGTTTATCCCCAGAGACAACAACTATGTCAGAGATGTACACTCGTGTTTATCACCAGAGACAACAACTATGTCAGAGATGTACACTCGTGTTTATCACCAGAGACAACAACTATGTCAGAGATGTACACTCGTGTTTATCCTCAGACAAGACAACAACTATGTCAGAGATGTACACTATGTCAGTGATGTATCCTCAGAGACAACAACTATGTCAGAGATGTACACCAACTATGTGTTTATCCCACAGAGACAACAACTATGTCAGAGATGTACATGTACATGTACATTCGTGTTTATCACCAGAGACAACAACTATGTCAGAGATGTACACACTCGTGTTTATCCCCAGAGACAACAACTATGTCAGAGATGTACACCCGTGTTTATTCCCAGGGACAACAACTATGTCAGAGATGTACACAGAGACAACAACTATGTCAGAGATGTACACAGAGACAACAACTATGTCAGAGATGTACATTCGTGTTTATCACCAGAGACAACAACTATGTCAGAGATGTACATTCGTGTTTATCCCCAGAGACAACAACTATGTCAGAGATGTACACCCGTGTTTATTCCCAGAGACAACAACTATGTCAGAGATGTACACAGAGACAACAACTATGTCAGAGATGTACACAGAGACAACAACTATGTCAGAGATGTACACCCGTGTTTATTCCCAGAGACAACAACTATGTCAGAGATGTACACAGAGACAACAACTATGTCAGAGATGTACACAGAGACAACAACTATGTCAGAGATGTACACTAGTGTTCATCCTTAGAGACAACAACTATGTCATAGATGTAAACTCGTGTTTATCCCCAGAGACAACAACTATGTCAGAGAAGTACACCCTTGTTTATCCCCAGAGACAAGAACTATATCAGAGATGTAAACTCGTGTTTATCACCAGAGACAACAACTATGTCAGAGATGTACACCCGTGTTTATCCTTAGAGACAACAACTATGTCATAGATGTAAACTCGTGTTTATCCCCAGAGACAACAACTATGTCAGAGAAGTACACCCGTGTTTATCCCCAGAGACAAGAACTATATCAGAGATGTAAACTCGTGTTTATCACCAGAGACAACAACTATGTCAGAGATGTACACTCGTGTTTATCTTCACAGACAACAACTATGTCAGAGATACACACTCGTGTTTATCCTCAGAGACAACAACTATGTCAGAGATGTACACCCGTGTTTATCCCCAGAGACAACAACTATGTCAGAGATGTACACTCGTGTTTATCACCAGAGACAACAACTATGTCAGAGATGTACACTCGTGTTTATCACCAGAGACAACAACTATGTCAGAGATGTACACTCGTGTTTATCACCAGAGACAACAACAGTGTCAGAGATGTACACTAGTGTTTATCACCAGAGACAACAACTATGTCAGAGATGTACACTCGTGTTTATCACCAGAGACAACAACTATGTCAGAGATGTACACTCGTGTTTATCACCAGAGACAACAACTATGTCAGAGATGTACATTCGTGTTTATCCCCAGAGACAACAACTATGTCAGAGATGTACACCCGTGTTTATTCCCAGAGACAACAACTATGTCAGAGATGTACACAGAGACAACAACTATGTCAGAGATGTACACAGAGACAACAACTATGTCAGAGATGTACACCCGTGTTTATTCCCAGAGACAACAACTATGTCAGAGATGTACACAGAGACAACAACTATGTCAGAGATGTACACAGAGACAACAACTATGTCAGAGATGTACACTAGTGTTCATCCTTAGAGACAACAACTATGTCATAGATGTAAACTCGTGTTTATCCCCAGAGACAACAACTATGTCAGAGAAGTACACCCGTGTTTATCCCCAGAGACAAGAACTATATCAGAGATGTAAACTCGTGTCCCAGAGACAAGAACTATATCAGAGATGTAAGTTTACACCTCGTGTTTATCACCAGAGACAACAACTATGTCAGAGATGTACACCCGTGTTTATCCTTAGAGACAACAACTATGTCATAGATGTAAACTCGTGTTTATCCCCAGAGACAACAACTATGTCAGAGAAGTACACCCGTGTTTATCCCCAGAGACAAGAACTATATCAGAGATGTAAACTCGTGTTTATCACCAGAGACAACAACTATGTCAGAGATGTACACTAATTTTTATCATCAGAGACAACAACTATGACAGAGATGTACACTCATGTTTATCACCAGAGACAACAACTATATCAGAGATGTACACTAGTGTTTATCACCGGCGACAACAACTATGTCAGAGATGTACACTCGTGTTTATCACCAGAGACAACAACTATGTCAGAGATGTACACTCGTGTTTATCACCAGAGACAACAACTATGTCAGAGATGTACACTCGTGTTTATCACCAGAGACAACAACAGTGTCAGAGATGTACACTAGTGTTTATCACCAGAGACAACAACTATGTCAGAGATGTACACTCGTGTTTATCACCAGAGACAACAACTATGTCAGAGATGTACACTAGTGTTTATCACCAGAGACAACAACTATGTCAGAGATGTACACTCGTGTTTATCACTAGAGACAACAACTATGTCAGAGATGTACACTAGTGTTTATCACCAGAGACAACAACTATGTCAGAGATGTACACTAGTGTTTATCACCAGAGACGACAACAATGTCAGAGATGTACACTTATGTTTATCCTCAGTGACAACAACTATGTCAAAGATGTACACTCATGTTTATCCCCAGAGACAACAACTATGTCAGAGATGTACACTCGTGTTTATCACCAGAGACAACAACTATGTCAGAGATGTACACTCGTGTTTATCACCAGAGACAACAACTATGTCAGAGATGTACACTCGTGTTTATCACCAGAGACAACAACTATGTCAGAGATGCCCAAAGCTTAACTGTATATAGTGTCTATCTGTTTCTTATTTATGTATTTAATGTTTTGTCTATAAACATTTGTTCACGTAAGGTTTTTTCTTTTCTTTTTCTTTTTGTTGCTGATAACGTTTTATCTGTTACATGTTGTTACATACAATGTTTATCTGTATCTTTTTGTTGGACATCGTGTTTTTTCTCTTTCTTACTGTTGCCTATAATGTTTACATGTTTCATATTGTCTATTTGTCTAGAAACGACACCTACGTGGTCTATGATCTTTTCTAAGATTTTCGTGTTTATGTCAAGATTCGCTGTCACACAGCAGAATTGGCTTCACTGAACATTGTGGAGGTCTGTTTCAGTAGCTGATAGCCATTCAAACACTTGCTTGGCTCAGTCACTTCTCCAGGCTGTAGGAGAATGTCGGCCTGCATACAGTGTTTCTTACTGCTGATACTGTCGTATGTAGGTCAGAAATGCAAAAGAATATAAACAACATTGAAACATTTAGACGGTATCTAGTAGAACTACTTTCTAACCTCAAGGTGTCCTAATAAAATAACTGTATAATTTGGTTGAAATGGGATTTCTGAAATGTGTGCTTCGTTGGTTGTCATATTTAGGATGTCAATCCTTCAGTCTGCATTCTTGGAACAGGAAACTTTTCAACACTGCTAACCTGCAACTGAACTTTCAAGCATGTCTTTGATGGTCCTACATATCCCCCCTCCCCCCCCCCCCCGGTAACTTCTTGAAGGTTTACCACTCTCAGATTTAAAAATGTATATATCTAAACCTGAATGACAGACGATGTAGATCTCTGACGTCTCTAAAATCTGTTCAGTCTCCAAAGAAATTTTACCTAGGGCACACCAGCCTAGCGACACCTACAGACCAGTGAGAGTATGGTTAATGTATTTGCCACTAATGGATTCTCATTCACACATGAGCTAGTACTTACGCTCCTGTCCAGTCGAAAAGTTGTGGGCTCAATTCCCTTCTCCTCGGACGAAGTCCCAGGAACCTCACAGCTGCTTCTGTACAGCTGTGGGAATCGTGTGCTGGTACTTTCTCTGTCTCGATCGGACGTTCGTGTATCAAACTGGGACATTCCTGGATTCATGCTTACCGTTCTTAATGATAAATTATGTTGCTGAGAGCAAGATCTCCCTTTCTTTTTCAACCTTGCTGTTGGAGGCAGCATCTGACTGTTCTTATCTGAGGTCTTGGATTTGGATGTGTTATTATTTGACTGTCTGTTAAAAAAGCGACAACTTGATGCTGGAACCTGCTTGGAAAATGGGTTTCTTAGACTTCCTCTACTGTCATTGTTTGCTGCTGAAGCTATTTTGCGTAGATATGATAGCATACCGCCTGTTACATTCTGTTTGGGCGGCAAGACTCTGATATCTTGGCCGCCAGCCTGGTTTAAACATGAGCTGTTTACGTTGGAGAATGCCTGGTTCGTACTCTGGTGAGGCTCAACGTTTTCAGCATCATTTTCATGATTACTTCCCTTGACTAGCAAACCGTTTGTACTGCTAGAAACCTGCCGTTTGTTCTGTTCTGTTCTGTTGATCTCCGGTTCATCTTTCTGTCCAACAGATTTTACATCCTTGCTCAGAGCAGAGCTATTTTCACACAGCAATATCCTGGGCTTTCCTCTTCGAGAAGGCAGCTTAAATACATGGGGCTGCATCTCTCGACTTTTGCCTACGCCACGGGGGGATTTTGTCTGTTCCACGCTTTGACTGTTTGACTTCAAACCGTCTGAAGCTTTGCATCTTTCATCCTTACTTCTTGCTTTGGCATGGGAATGCTGAGATTTCATAATCTTGTAGCGAGGCCAGCGTCTATGCCCATTGACCGAATCCCCCTGGGATTCTTGTTTGACCTTGTCACCACCAGGGTTCATCTTTATCGACATATTACATTTCTTTGAGCTGACATTTGGCAGAGAGTTGTCACTGACATCGGTCATATCCAGAAAATCCACTTTTGGCGCCATATCTTCACTGTTTCTAGTCACTAGGTAAGTCTCTGTCGATTTCTGCTCCCTGATTTCTGTGTCCATGGCATTGTTTACCCTAGATACAACAATCACTTCCTTGGAAACCGGGTTGCTGTCTTTCTGCCAGCGACCCGATACGTGGTCTGTGACTGGATTAGTGCTTGTCTCGCTGTGCTTCTCTTCTGGATGATGGTCGAAATGGTCCTTGCCTGCTTCCTTGATGACCTTGAAGCCACAGTTCTCAGCTAAGATCTGAAAGGTGGCCTTGCTGGCACTACTTCCATGGACTGATCTGTCCTTGCCGTGCGAAGGGCTCGATCCTAGACCCGTCGGATTTGTTGCCACATTGTTCACAGTGACAGGTCTCAAATCTCCACGTTTCATCTTGTAAGAGGTTTAGATGATGCAAGTTGCCTCTGTTCAAACTGTTGATGATGATCTTGACCTTGTTACCAGTCTCGGGTGATACACACAAGATTCGTAGGTAGACATTCTATTTTGTTTGTAAGGTCCAGTGTGTTCTGTGCCAGCTTCAGTCACGCTTGGGACCATCAAGTAACAATGGAGAGAGAGAGAGAAAAAAACGTGCTGCAGTTGAGACAAATGGGTTAAACAAACAAAAAATGTTGCGTAAGTGTGAAAAAAAAAGTGCTACAACAGAAAAAGAACGTCTTAAACATAGAAAGAACTTGTTGCAGCTGAAAAAATACGAGCCTTAATACACACAAAAAGGTATAAAACAAAAAAAGAACACAATAAAAGAGAGAAAGAATGTATTACAGCAGAGAAAGAACATGTCCCAGCAGAGAAGGAACGAGTTAAAGAAAGAAAACGAACTTGTTACAACATGGAAATAATGTGTTTTAACAGAGAATAAATGTGTTACGGCAGGGAAAGAACTTGTTACAATAGAGAAATAACGTGTCACCGCAGTAAAAGATAGTGCTGCAACAGAGAAAGAACGTATGACAACAGAGAAAGACTGTTTTGCAACAGAAAAGGAACGTGTTACAATAGAGAAAGAACGTATTATAACATAAAAAGAACGTGTTATAAAAGAGAAACAACATATTACAACAGAAAAAGAAAGTATTACAGCATAGAAAGAACATGTTAAAACGGAGAATGAACGTGTTACAGTAGAGAAAGAACGTGTTACGGCAGAGAAAGAACATATTACAGCATATAAAGAACGTGTTACAGCATAGAAAGAACGTGTTACAGCAGAGAAAGAACATGTTACAACAGAGAAAGAACATGTTACAGCATACAAAGAACGTGTGAAAGCATAGAAAGAACGTGTTACATCATAGAAAGAACGTGTTACAGCATAGAAAGAACGTGTTACAGCATAGAAAGAACATGTTACAACAGAAAAAGAACATGTTACAGCATAGAAAGAACGTGTTAAAGCATTGAAAGGACGAGTTAGGGAATATAAAATGTGTTACACAAGATAAAATGCATTGTGAAGAGATAAATGTCACAACACTTGTAGTTGTTGCAATGCCAATAGCTGTAGTTGTAGAAGTGGTAGTAGTTGTAGTAGTAGCAGTGGCCATAGCAGATGTAGAGGGGGTAATGGTAGTTGTAGTAGTAGCAGTGGCCATAGCAGATGTAGAGGGGGTAATGGTAGTTGTAGTAGTAAATAAGGAAGCGAAGGTCGACCACACACACACACAAAGTGCTCCATTCTACTCAAATCTCAGCGCTGTGCACGATCTCCGTTGCACCGACAAGGATCCTGAACTGAAAAATTCTGGGTAGATTTTTAACTTTAAATTTTGTCCGGGCAGCGCCGTCACTCTGCTCTTGTCAGTTTCTAACTGCCAAGGGTTTTTTGTTCTACGTGCGCAACAATACACACGGGTGTCCGATCTTACTACCTAGAGATCAGGGGAAATTAGTACAAATCCATGTGAAAAAATGCTAGCAAAATTAGATTTATTAGTATCAATGAAAGTCCACCTACCTCCTTCGTTCAGATAATCTCAGGAAGGGATAGTTTCTATATAAATGGTGCGAAGTCTTTTTGTAACGGGAAGTTCTTGTTTAGCCCAAATTTTGGTGTGCAACTTTTTCTTCTTCTTCTTTGGTTCGCTTGAAATGGTTATCTATATATGCAATGTTATCTCTAGTATGAACTCTACTGTCTTTTGTAATTAACTCAGCGATCCGTAAAGTTTGACTTGCACCGATGTTTCTCTTGGCCAAAAGTTTTGCCTTGATATGCTGTATTTGGGAAAGCAACGTATTTATTATACATTTATTTTGTCAGTGACTTCGTTGTCCGGAGAAGACATGGGCTATCATCCCTCTTGAAACCATTTTGTCCTTTAACTCTTTGAGTCCCAGGGATCACAGGCCCAGAGGGTAGTAAATAGAGTTATACAATCGGCCCATCATGCGTTCATTGGGCTTCTAGGTAGGAACCTATGAAGGTATGATGCGTTCCTTGGGACTCAAAGAGTTAATATCAAGAAGTACCTAAGCACTGTTATTTATTTTCTAAACTGTTATTAAATAAATAACAGTGGGCGACCTTAAGTTTTTGTATGTTTGCCCTTATAGTATCTCTCCCCGTCTTCTTGACTTCTGCCTCGTGGTCTACGCCCATCTATAAGTCTTCTTGACTTCTGCCTCGTGGTCTACGCCCATCTATAAGTCTTCTTGACTTCTGCCTCGTGGTCTACGCCCATCTATAAGTCTTCTTGACTTCTGCCTCGTGGTCTACGCCCATCTATAAGTCTTCTTGACTTCTGCCTCGTGGTCTACGCCCATCTATAAGTCTTCTTGACTTCTGCCTCGTGGTCTACGCCCATCTATAAGTCTTCTTGACTTCTGCCTCGTGGTCTACGCCCATCTATAGGTCTTCTATGCACGTGTTTTTTATATATCTGTTATATGCCTTTCTCCTCATATACACGAAACTTGCTGTCTATTACCTCCCATGTTTATGAACGTCTCTCTTGCTGCTCAGTCTTCTTTCTCTGCTTCATCACAACTCCAAGTTTAAATATATATTTCCTGACAAACTAAGGTTAAAACGAGGTAGATAGTTTTTAATAGAGATAGTTAATAAGTCTCGATGAATGAACCAATCAACAGTTGACCTCACTGCACTAGGGAAATTCCCTATAGGGCTTCTAAAGATGGTACACATCTATCTAACCCGTGCCGAACAAAACTTGTTATACCAAACCCGATTTGTTGGTACATTTAAGAAATTCTACATCAGTGTTGTAAACGTTGGAATTGAACGGTGGATCCAGTAAGTTATGCCATAAGTCATGAGATTTCCCAGCCTAGGTAAGAAAGAAGAACAGTAGAAACCAAAAATGGAAGAAAGATCACATATACAAGAGCAGTTCAAAGCCGAGGCTTGTTGCAGACCTTTGCTGTTTAGACTGCCATTAAACACAGTTCAACAGCCTCCAATAGGGTTCAAAGGTCAGTCGAGCTAGTCAAGAAATGGACAAAGAATTAGGTTACAACTTGCATTGTCACATTTTCGTCTTTCCACATGATAGTTTTTTGTTTTTTTATTATATCATAGCGTCACATAGGAATCAATAAAGTGTATCCTCTCCATAGCATAAACCATGTGTCCCCAGTGCAACGTGATTCCCTTTTCATCCCTGGCTGGTAGCTGTTCTAGAATGGAAGACTCAACAGGCGAACAGGGAGGACACTGCACCTGTGATCCTGCAGTCTCTGCAGCATCCTTTATTCCGTACGTTTTGGTGTTTCCTCTTCTCTGAAGCGGGAATTGATTCTCCTGGCCCACGCGTCTCGGCAATCTGCTGAGAAGTCATCGATCTAGCTGCTTCGAGATATCAGCTAAGTGATTGTGTGTATTTATGTGGTATTGTTTGATTTGTGTATGTGGTGATGAAGGCTTCATAGCCGCAACGTTCACCTTTTGTTTGTATTTGTTATATTGTGAAGCTTGCCAGTATACTTCTCGTTGGGGTTTTTATCTCTTCTCTGAAGCAAACAAGCCAGACCGAGTCCGGGATCATGATTCATGGCAACACATGGTCTCTCAGATCCTGCCCAGGCTTTGCGCTATGGAGAGCAAACACGTTATCCCTCTGCCTGGTTGGCTTTGGTTCCTTTGCTTCTCTATAACACAATATTACCATGTCGTCTGGACAAAGTGTCCATTACAGCTTGAGACTCCATTTCTTTGTCCAGTTCTTGACTTTCTTCACTGCCGTTTCAAGCCAGTCGGAGACCATTGAAGTGTTTAGAATGGCTGTCTAATCATGGAGACGAACGATGGAAAGTGACCTGAGTGCGGCATCTTTGACATGGAAAACTGCACTGAAGATTGCACAGGACAGGAAAGCATGGAAAGTCCTCTCTGAAGCCCCATGTGCCACTAGGCATAACGAGAACTGATGATGATGAATAGTAAAGTCATCGACCTACATATTTAGCTCTATCTGGCTCATGTGGGCTGTTCAAAACTTGATGGTGACACAATTTAGTAATGTCATCGACTCTACAGAGAATGAAGTGGTTTGGCCATTTAGTAAGAATGCAACCGGATCAGATTGCCTATAAGGCCTTTTACAGTTGAACATCGGGAAGAAAGGCCAGAGGAAGACCCAGGAAAAAATGGATAGATGGAGTAGCTGAATACGGCCAGAAGATCCAGAAAACTGTCACTCAAATCACGCGAGAGGCACAAAACAAATATTTTTAAACCACGACACTGGGCTGCAACCCGGTAAAAGTGAAGAAGACAATAGATAGATCGACGTATCTCCAGAACAGAATTGGCACTTTTACACTGATATAAGAAAATCTCTAACGCAGTGTTACCGACTTGCCAAGAAGGCTGTTTTCAGTCCTATCCAGTCTTGGACACAGAAAGTCGCTTAATAAAAACCGCATGGTGTAAGCAGCTGCTGCTTGAAACCATTTTAGTTTGGTCCCACCTTCCACTCATTGTCGACAGTATATCACTGTTTAAACATTGTCGACAGTATATCACTGTTTAAACATTGTCGACAGTATATCACTGTTTAAACATTGTCGACAGTATATCACTGTTTAAACATTGTCGACAGTATATCACTGTTTAAACATTGTCGACAGTATATCACTGTTTTAAACATTGTCGACAGTATATCACTGTTTAAACATTGTCGACAGTATATCACTGTTTAAACATTGTCGACAGTATATCACTGTTTAAACATTGTCGACAGTATATCACTGTTTAAACATTGTCGACAGTATATCACTGTTTAAACATTGTCGACAGTATATCACTGTTTAAACATTGTCGACAGTATATCACTGTTTAAACATTGTCGACAGTATATCACTGTTTAAACATTGTCGACAGTATATCACTGTTTAAATATTGACGA